TTTTTTTGTTAGAAAGGGGGTACTTCAGGGGTGGTCCCATATAAATTTGGTCAAAAACTAATAATTGGGTCCATAAGAAAAACCTCAAACTCTTCATTTTTTATGTATGTTTATTATTATTATTATCGGTTTATTTTTTTTTATGTATGTTCAGCGATAATTCTTTACCACCTTGTCCAATTTCTATGATTCTTTTTTTGTTAGTAAGGGAATATCTCAGGGGTGGTCCCATATATTTGGTTAAGATGTGGTGATAGCATCTGCACGATTTTTAAGTCGGTTTTTTATAATTTCTTTTAATACTTGTTAGTTGTAAGAAATTCCATTTTTAACGTCATGCATGCAATCGTTAAAATAATGATTAATATTATTTTATTGTCAGAATTAATTTTATATTTATGCTCCCCTTTCAGTTATAACTTTTATATATCCGCATTTCTAATGCCCCGCATCTTTATATTGTTCATTTTTCTTTTAGTTTCTATATATAAAGATTTAGTCCAGGATCCGTAAGTAAGATCGACCTTCACCCATCTGTTTATTGAATAAAAGTTATTTTTTAATAAATGAAATATGTTTTCAAATATACCGCTTATTGCCTAAGAAAATATGGTCACGGCCATTTTTTACTTTCCCTTCTGTATACATATAAGAAAAGTAAAGAAATCATGATAAATGTTGCTTATGATATCATTCTCTATTATTTTGTTCTAATACATGATTTCCCTAAAATGGGCCTAATTCGAGATATTTGATGAAAAAAGCAAATTTCGAATTTTGAAGATAACTCAAAAACGGATGAAGAGTTTTTTTTAGGTATTTACATTTTCTAGGACATTTTATTTTCCTATTTCCCTGCTACAGGAATTTTCCTCCTTTTCAGGATGGTCTGCCCTGAATACAAAAGTAACCTAGCTAGCTAATTCCTATGATGTCGTGTGCGCGTGTGGGACATGTGTGGCAGGTTGTGTTCCCCAAGAATATCGCCAATTTTGCCATTTCCAACCCCATAAATAGACAAGTCCAAGTATAAGGTGGGGAATATGATTTAGGAAAACCACAAAACCTAAATCACTATATTGTACATATGTTGTGAATTTTTAATTATATGATTGAGAAGGGTTTATCTAATGCTTAGGGGGGCTGATTCCAGCAGATCCTGGAGTTCAGCGGTGAGGGGGAGGTTTTGGGCGTCTGCGAGAAGTTTCAGATTTGGTTGTGGCATTTTTCTTTTCGGTTTTCGAAAAAGTGTGAGTTGGTTTGGGCGCCATGGGGTTCGTAGAGTGTCTTAAGAGTGTGTGTTGGTGCCTTTCAGCGATCTTAGATACATACTTTGATTACTATACGGGGCAAGAGAGAGGTCCGACACGCTCAACATAGGGCGCGGCCATTTTGTTTCCTATGACACAGTTTATAGCTAAAGAATCAAATCGCTCACTCTGCGTTGGCACTTTTGATCTCAATATTCCACTGCGCAACTCCGATAATACATCTCAACCGCCTATAATAAAACAGCAGTCTTCTGCGTATCCTGAATTTGTATCCCTGGAGTAGATGTTATTTTGGAACTTTCAACTGGTCCGAGTGAGCTAACTGATTCTTTAGCAATAAACTGTGACTCCAAAAATAATACTCACTGACACTGACAGCAGCAAGCAAAATATCAGGTGCGTTTTAATCATCCGCTTCTGCTTCCGGAATTGCCGGTTTAGTCGTTTTAACCTGTCAGATTAAAACAAGAAAACCGACAATTCCGAAGCAGAAGCGGATGATTAAAACGCACCTATTAAAAATACTGCGCCAAGATGTAGGCAACACGTAATAAGGGTTCAAAATGGCGGAGTTTTCTATCTCCTTTTAAAAGGCACTCAGAAAGCTGCGCAGTGCGACCATTCTCCGTATAGTAAAAGAAAATCAAAGTATGTGATCTTAGATAAAATGATGTCTTTGTGTCAAACTAGTAGTACCACCACATATTTTGATTACTATACGGTAGAAGCGGTGAAAGAGAGAGGTCCGACACGCCCAATATAGGGCGCAGCCATTTTGATGCCTTTACCACAGTTTATAGCTAAAGAATCAGTTCGCTCACTCTGTGTCAGCACTTTTGATCTCAATGTTCCCATTTAAACACTGCGCAACTCGGATAATACAATATATGACAACCGCCTATATTCAAACAGCAGTCTTCTGCGCATCCTGAATTTGTATCCCTGAAGTGGATGTTATTTTGGAAATTCAACTGGTCCGAGTGAGCTAACTAATTCTTTAGCAATAAACTGCGCCTTTACTACTAGTTTAGGCAACACATATATTTCCTAAATGTTAAACTGGTAGTCTATACATCCTGATATTTAAACAATGAAAAGAGAACAACAAAGCATTAAAATTAACATACAATCGCCAATTAATTAAAAATAAGGGTCAACTTTCGTTTAGCCGAAATCAGTTACGTGAAAATTGTTGCCATGGCAACCGTTGCCATGGTAACCAGTAAACAAAAACCCAAATCTCGTGGTGAGGAAATGCATAGTTGCCAAGTTATAGATTATTTAATGTTCACTTTAGTTTAGACGAAATCAGTTATGGTAAAACTGTTGCCATGGGAACGCTTGACATAGTAACGACTAAACAAAAAGCTAAATCCCATGGCGAGGAAATGCATGGTTGCCAAGTTACAGATGATTAAATTTAGCTGTAATCAGTTACGGAGAAACTCTTGCCATAGAGACACTTGTCATGGTAACAACTAAACAAAAATCCAAATCCTGTGGTAGGAAAATGCATAGTTGGCAAGTTACAGGTCATTTAATTTTCACTTTAGTTTAGCTGAAATCGGTTATGGAGATGTCGCGATGTCGACTAAACAAAAACCTAAATCTAGTGGTAAGGAAATGCGTAGTTGCCTTTTATATTTAGATTAACTCTTAACACAATATCCTAATCTAAACTAAAGTGAAAATGAAACCATCTATAACTTGGCCACTAGGCATTTTCTCACTACGGGATTTGTTTAGTCATTAGCATGACAAACGTTTCCATGGCAACAGTTTCTCTAGAAGATCACGCTACGCTCCTCCCACCCACAACCTAACTACTAGCGAAGCGAGCGCGCCTGGCCGACGTTTCGAAATTCGCCCACGCGAATTTTGAAACGTCGGCCAGGTGGCCCTTTTTTCACCTACATCGTAAAATCATGCTACGCTCCCCCCACCCACCTCTTAACTACTACAGAGGAAAGCGAGTGAAGCGAGCGCGCCCGGCCGACGTTTCGAAATTCGCGCGCGCGAATTTCGAAACGTCGGCCGAACGCGCCTTTTTTCCACCTACATCGTAAGATCACGCTACGCTCCTCCCACCCTCCTCTTAACTACTACAGAGAAATGCGAGCGAAGCGAGCGCGCTTACATCATAAGATCACGCTACGCTCGTTTCACTCACATACTAACCACTACTTGGCAACTACGCATTTCCTCACCACGAGATTTGAGTTTTTGATTAGTCGTTAGTATAATAAGCGTTTCCATGGCAACAGTTTCTTCATAACTGATTTCGGCTAAACTAAAGTGAACATTAAATGATGTATAACTTGTCAACTACGCATTTCCCCACCACGAGATTTGGGGTTTTGTTTAGTCGGTAACATGACAAGCATGCCCATGGCAACATTTTTTGCATAACTTATTTCAGTTAAATGAAATTAAACAAAAACCGTAATCATCTACAACTTGGCAACTACGCATTTCCTCACCATAAGATTAGGGTTTTTGTTTACTCATAGATATCACAATTGTTATTATGACAACAGTTTTTGCATAACAGATTTCGGCTAAACGAAAATTGAGCCAAAAATAATCGTGTAAATCACAAATCACGTCTAAAACACAAAATGATATATAAATCCTCAAAACTTGTTCACTGACACTGACAGCAGCAAGCAAAATATTAAAAATATTGCACCAAGATGTAGGCAACACGTAATAAGGCATCAAAATGGTGGAGTTTTCTATCTCCTTTTAAAAGGCACTCAGAAAGCTGCGCAGTGCGACCATTCTCCGTATAGTATAGATAAAGTAAAAGTTGAAAAGTCTTTTGGTAGGTAGAGAGGGGGTAAACGTCAAACCACGTCGGGCGGCTCCGAGAATTTCACAGTAATGTTTACCTGCCAGTGTCGTTTCATAGAATAAGTAATTTTAAATTGTTATCTGCGGAACCGGACAATCGCATGTATTTATGGATTATAAATAATTATTAAACATGTATTATAATATTCAAATTATAATTTTACAAAATTTCAACAGCTATTCACAATTTATTAAACTATTTACTCGAAATTGTTATTAAAATCTATAAAATAATTTTGTACGCCAATGTATCGCGTCCACTTCGGTGAGATCCGCTGCCAACCTGTTAATTTATGTGTATAAAGTGGGAGAACTGGCAAAGCATTTCCAACTTTTACTTCTGTTCTAAGAGAAAATCAAAGTATGTGAGTACCACAATATTTTAAATATTTGTATGGTATGTCATCTCCTCTCTCTACTAACTGGATGTGATAAGTCGATAAAGTTGGCTTCACAGAACTCCTACTTTCTAGCATGGAACGAACGTCTCATTTACATCCCATTTCAAATCGAGATGTAAAAAATGTAACCTGGACAGTTACATCTCGGATAAACAAACGCAGATGCAGATGTAGTAGATGTAGATGTGGATAAACAAACTATTATTATTAATTATTTTTGTTGTTTTTTCATTGTTTTATCTTAGCTATGTATTGCTGTACTTTTAAGTTTTCATCTATATATACATATATATATTTCTTGTATCTTTTAAATTGTATATTTTCATGTTATTTGCTTTGTAATTGAAACGTACTAAAAGGTATTTTGATTTGACTAGAGGAACGAGATATTCGAATATGTACTATTGGTATAGCTAAAAACATATTATACAATTCCATTTAAACTAATAATTTAAAAATATTTTATAATTCCTACCAAAAGATGCGAAACAGGCCAAAACTATCCTCCATGCATGCTTGATCAAGTACTTGGATATATCACTTCCGATACCATTCGAACCTTCAACGTCTGCATCTCGTCTGAATCGTGAATCATAATTTCGACCGTAGATATTAGAGCTGGAGCTGCTAGTCAATTGATAACAACTTGAAAATACATCTGTACTAAAACATGAATAAAAAAAGTTAGGAATCACGGTGTATTATTGCTATGTTTGAAATGTAACTTCTAGTGCAAATCATATCAATGGAGGAACCGGAGCTTGGATGTATTAAAAAAACGGTATCGAGTAAAAAATGCAAAACAAGGTACTTTTTAAACGCAGCATATAAATCAGAGAAATAATAGACAGCCGATTTACAGGGAACTACCAAACATCTTGCCTTTTACAGACGTATTTGGGAGGTCCAGATGAAACAAAAATGTAAGCCATTTTTCTCAAAAGTCAAAAGCCAACTTTGCATGTCCGCCTTCTTACTGGACATGGTTTGTATGCGTTCAGCTTGTCGTCTGTGATAATAAGCGGTATCTAGGACAATAATTTAATTTGATTTTGCACCCTGTAACACTTATGTAAAACACTTTTTAAAGCATTCTGCATTCGTCTCTTCGTTTTAATCTCCCTTTTGTTTGTTGATACTAAAGCCCTTTTTTCCAAAAATCATCCACTGTCACTTTCGATATGGGTAACACTTAAGCGATGTTCTTTACCTGATATTGTGTTTAATGTCAGCTCTTGCATTAGAAAGAACGAAACGCCTACTAAATTGAGTAGAGGTGGTTTGTGCGAGCTTGCTTATTTGAGGTGCTAGCACGCGCTTTATGAATGAACAGGTCGTACAAATATGATTCCTGCTTTACACCGTTGTCTAACTGTAAAATAAATAGTGTAAAATAAATCTCCTTCAGCTACAATAATAATACCAACCAGAAATGGACATTAAAATGATACATAATAACTGGCAAATATGAAAATATACTTTATTAATGTAATTTTAAATGCCTTTTATGCCTTATGTTAGGTCAATTTCGAATTATATCTATGAACAATTCTTGTAACAAGATTGTACCATAGTCTTTCATTATCGACTACGTGAATGCTTATAATTCTGTTTTTGTAAACAAAATTAGTCTAGTAGTTGTTCATGTGAATGCTTATAATTCTGTTTTTGTAAACAAAATTAGTCTAGTAGTTGTTCATCGTTGATTCAAGCTTTGTCCGCCAGATATCAAGTGTGCCTTGGAGGTAGATGCAAACAGTAATAGCGACGTAATTTGAAACTTTTAATTAAATAATAAATTTTTCCTAAAAATTAAATAAATTATAAAGATTAGCAAGAGCCCTGGATTAGACTTTATGCAAATAACTTTGATCAAAATACTTACTATCCTGATGAACAGCGAGCCACGCATCTTCTCGATATCAGGATTAATCCGTCATCGCCTCTTGTTTCTTTAAATGAAGCGTCAATGTCCAAATAGCTAAAACATAAATAGATGCTAAAATATACGAAAAACTAGAAAATTACAGTCAAATAACTAAATGTAATAGTAAACAATGAATATTCACTCTAGATTCGTTGCACCGAATTAACGATTAACAAATTAAGAAATCCAATAGGATATACCTTTACTATAGTGCTAATTATAGTTTCCGACAAGATTTTGTTTTGATTAATTAATTAACCCAGGGGTTCTGGTTCTCTGTTTCTTGAAGTGTATTTAATATTTTTGGCTTGGTTGTCTTTAAAATAATCTAAATACTCGTTTTCTCTCTCGAATGGCTATTGTAATACCTTCATTCCCACCATGGTACATATTTCTTCTTGC